CCTTTGGGAGAAGCGGGGCAGCGGGGAAGAAAGACAGGAGCCGATTAGTCTTTCTCCCCCACCGCGAGGCTTCTCCGCTGCTGAAACCTCCATCGGGCGCAGCGCTTTGGGAGAAGCCTTGCGGTGGGGGAGAAAGACTGGGGTGGCTCCTGCCTTTCTTCCCCGCTGCCTGGCTTCTCCCAAAGGGCTGGCCCAATGGTGGTTTCAGCAGCGGAGAAGCTGCCCAATGGGAGAGAAAGGCCAGATCGGCTCCTGCCTTTCTCCCCCACCACCCGGCTCCCTCCCTTTTCCAAACTGTTGGGGCGAAAAAGCTAAAGAACCAACCTCTTCACCACCGCCCTTTTCCCCTGCCCTTTTCATCCGTACATCGAAGCTCCGGCCGCCAGTCGATCCAAAATTTTGTGGCTGGAGCTGTACGTAGGTCAAAAAGTCCGTAAGTCGGGCCATTTGTAGGTCGAGATTCCACTGTAACTATACAGTGAGGAAAATGCGAAATCACCTGCTGTGAAGACACAGCTGCAGTCAAGTTCCCTCAGGTACATTGTGTTAACTGGCCACACAAGGAGAGAGGAGGAAATTGACAAGCAGCCTTGTTTGCAGCTTCTTAATGTTCTCTTGTAGCCCTCTTGATTTGCAGAAGACATGGTTGCAAGAGAATTACCTTAGTACACTATAAACAAGAACCAAGTGGCAGCTTCCTTCTCTTATTCTCTCTCTCTTTCTCTCTCTAGTGTCTAGATCAGCATTCTCAACCTTTTTTTTTTGGCCATGGCCCTAAACACAATGTGAAGGAAATATAGATCAAACCAGGATTGCACAAGTCGCATAATGAACCTTGTAAGGTGGTCTGTGATGAATTGTTTCCAGTTTGTGGCCCCTTCAAATATTTCAGGGCCACTGAGGGGCCATAAGGCCCCCATTGACAACAGCTGATCTAGATGTCCTAGCACAACAGCGCTGGTACCAAGCCTTTTTTTAAAAAAAGTATTATTTGCAAATATCCAACCTTCCATTGTTTTAACACTGCCCTCCCCAGTGGCTGCACCATCATGCTAGCCATCACTAGCCCTGCATATACTTTTATTTGGCAACTGTTCAAATGATCACAATACCTGATCTGATGCTTATGAATCCAATCTTTGAAAAAGTAGAAGTAGCAAAGAAGGAAACTACAAATGCTCATGCATAATTCACATTGGCTTTTAAATCATATGGTCAGTGGGAAAAATGTGAATCAGATTGTCCTAATCCCGAAGCATTTCCCACATTATGTGTCAATATAGTTGCACCCTTAGTTAGTTACTTATGAAACCCAATATTGGCTTATGTCTAATTGTGCCACAGAGAGAAAGTTTTTTTAAGAGGACTCTGTGAACTATTCAGGATTTGGTTTAATATGTGTTCTCAGGACATAAGCAGAGTTAGGAGATATCAGGTTGCAAAGGCACTATAACATTGAGAGAGTAAAATGCCATCCTAGTCTATTAACATATACTGTATACAGAAAGAATAGACATTCATCTGGCAGTATAACATGACATGGTACAATACATAGCATAGAAAAAAAGTGATCTGATTTACAGCAGATAAAATGTCCCCTTTACACATGACTTATATACATTCTTGGGACCAATCATAAAATGCATTATAAAGGCCAGATCGGCTCCTGCCTTTCTCCCTCACCGCCCGGCTCCCTCCCTTTTCCAAACCGTTGGGGCGAAAGAGCTAAAGAAGCAACCTCTTCACCACCAACGGTTTGAATTTCCTGCCCTTTTTTCCTGCCCTTTTCGTCTGTACGTCGAAGCTCCGGCCCCAAGATTTTGCGGCTGGAGCTGTACGTAGGTCAAAAAGTCCGTAAGTGGGGCCATTCGTAGGTCAAATATTTGTATAGAGCCAAAGCCTGTTGGGATTTTATGCTGGTCTAGGGCAAATGCTGTAATTTTAGGAGGTATATTGCCTCAAATTATGAAATCACCATGTACGTTATCTGTTATGGTTGAGTCGCCTGACTTAATACACAAGAGATATTTATGGTTATTGCTTCTCAACGAACAGCGAACAGGATTTTGGCCATAGTTGTGAAGAGCATTGTACCCAAAATACATTGGAGAAACTGTTTAGCGTATTAGTTTTATCATTGTTATAATATTTTTGTGTTCTTATGAGCTAAAACGTGAAAATTACAGGGTCCATCCAAACTTAAGCGCTTTAAATTTAAATCACTGAAATTTACTCTTGTTTATTTGACCACTCTTATGAGCTAAAACGTGAAAATTACAGGGGCCGTCCAAACGTAAGCGCTTTAAATTAAAATCACTGAAATTTACTCTTGTTTATTTATACTCTGGTTACATAGACCAGATGGGTGGGATACAAATCAAATCAAATCAATCAATCAATTTTAATATCACAATCAATCAATCAATCAATAAAATTTAATATCGGCTGGAGCATGTTCCTATCAGAGAGTGTTTGATGTTATATCGTGGATCTCTTTTATTTTTTGTTAAGATTGTGCATACCTCAGACTTGTGGTATCTGTTATTTTCACTGAGACCCAGAGATCCACAACCAGAGGCTGCAACAAAAGGAAATTGTTTTGAGAATCAGAACTGAGTAGAGCTCAGATATGACAAAAATTTATCCTGCTTACCTCTAGAATTCTTCCCTTCAACAGTATAATTTAGGATGGGAAAGGGGTTTGTTTCTCTTGCTACAGTTTTGAGTCAGAAATACATAGTACATCTACTGTTAGATCTCAGTTTACCTTCTACTCACCCCTTATTCAGGACACTGTGTTTTGATTAATTCCTAACTTGAAATTGCAACTGATTCTGTAGATTCTTGTAGTAGTGACATAATTTCATACAGTTTTTAAAAATAAGGTATGAATTTTGCTTTTTTCATATTGTCCGGTTTCTGTCATCAAAGGAAAGGATAAGAAAACCACTCTATGGCTCATCTGTCAGATCAGAAAATCTAATATTTGAACACCTCCCTAAGAGTCCTTTAGAACTTTATGAACCTTTAATTAAAACTAGAAGCCCATATTTGTCACAACTGGCATTTATCCCTAAATATGATAAATTTAGTATGCAATAGGAACCAAACAAATATTTTGCACTTTGTACAATTTACTCTTCTGCATATCTTTCAAGTTTTTTTTTTTGCCCTATATAAGATACATGAATTGAATGTCCAGAAAAATCTGTAGTTTTTCTTCTTTTTATTTAACAAGAACATGCTACCAGATTTATGTGTGGAAAATTTTTCTCTGTCTGTTGAATATCTGAAGGTTGTAGTTACAAAAACCTAATATGATGTATTAGGAATATAACTATGAAAACGTAATGAAATATGTAAGTACTATAATAAACTTAATGTGTTTCAGAATGGAATAATAATAATTTAACTAAACTAAATCCTTAGTTCTTAGCACTATTATTTGGTGTTGTCAGAATTAGTCTTGTACTTATATAATCCCTTTTCCTCTTACCTATTCAACTTCTTGGTTTGATTAAAAAACAGTTCTCTTGTTCTAATGTAAAGAAATAAAGATTTGATCAAAAAGGATGTAGCTTATGTAGAATATGTAAGGAGAGCAGGAAGCAAATGTAATATAGGTAGAGTAGGAGATATACTACCTTGAGCTCACTGGAGGAAAAGTGAGATGTAAAAACCTTTTAAAAATATTGTCCTATTAATCTAGATATTGCAGCTACATTTCCACACTTCTGTTTAAAATAGTTTGATTACTGGCTCCAGGGTTGATCACAAGGTACTGAACAGTTATATTATAAGCAAGTCTCCCAAAACATAGTATTTTTCATGTAGCAAAGAGTAATCAAGGGGACAACTATCTGAATTATACTGTATTTTAAAAGGTGTGAACTTTACTTGTGCTTTACACTTAACCAGCATCCACTGGAAGCATTTGAGTATTGGCATGTAATGAATGAAGTGGGGGGATGGCAACTCTCAGTGGGAGGTTCCATTACTAAATCTGAATGCTACAAAGTTTCTCTTCAATAATGGAAGGAATCCTTCTGATCCATGGAGGTGTCCACTAATGGAACACTAAGGGGTTGATTTTCAGTTCCTCTTCTTGCCCCCAGTGGTCCCCCCCAATACTACAGTACCTTCCACGTTGTTCCACAGGGACATCCAACCCCCAGGAATAGATGTAGCTGTTCACAATGGAAGAATATGTAAAAAGCTCCTCATTGCCTTGTGATAGCAGAGACCTATATTAAATCAAAAGCCCTTCTATTGATGAATTTCTTTTTCAGGAATGTTAAACATATAAGCCTGTTCTCACTGCATCAAAAGTATGTACAATTATCCTTTATCATCTTGTTGAGGGTATCTTGACCAGGTGTTTTGAATCAACTTATTTTAGTATCAACTTGTCTTTTGATTATTTGATATCTAGAGATGATTTATTAAGAACATAAATTCTGTTCTTTTAGGCTACAACCTTGCCGGATGAATATAAGGAAGGGAAGCTCCATGCATACAAATTGATATGTGCTATGATGACTAGGCGTCAAGATTTTGTGCCAAATCCTGACTACCTCGTGCATTTTTATCTTGTCATGCACATTGGATTAACTAGCAAAGATCAGGTACAAATTAAATTTCTGATTTTGAAAAGTGATTTGCATTAATTTAGCAGATGTTCTAAAGTTTTCCTTCTGAGTTTCCCTCTGTTGTAGGAAGGACACACTTTTTAAGGTTTACCCTTCTGCTCATAGAAGGACTGGTGATTTGGTGGAGGATCTTCCTATTGGAGGATTTTCACTGTGCACCCCTTTCCTCCATTCCCTGCATGATATTCAATAGAGTCCCTCAACTCTGTAGAACAATTGGGGGGAGTTGCAAGTACCTAAAGGGAGAAGGTGAAACCCTTGCACTGTCTTTTACCAGGGGGATTGTTCAATCCAGTTGACAGTAGGGAATCCAGATTACAATCCTATGTTTCTCCAGTGATTGATGGATATTGACTTATCAGACTTTTTCATGAAAAATGTGCATGTCTATTCTACTACTGCCATTGTTTTATTTTATCTGAGCCACAAAAGTGAGTTGTAAATTATGGAGATATACTGCAAAAAGTTGCATTGCAAACTATGATATGTAAAAGCTGTGACTATAGAAATTCAAGGAACACTTTCAGAAACAATTGAGTTTTGAGAAGGGGTTTGATGGAGTAAGAAGATGTGGCATGTTGAGCAGAGGAAATAGGCCAGTTTGGTATGTATAAAGATGAGCACTAAGGAGAAATAAAATGAGTTCCAAGCAGAAACGTTGGCTAAGAAAAATGGGAGATTATAAAGTTAGAAAGGGGAAGCAGACAAATCCAAAAGGTTATGAAGACAGACTAGTTCTATAGAAAGGTATGTTTCACCCAGTTTAAGTAGTTAATAAGATTTATTTTAATATCTTTATTAGTAGACAGGGTAAGTAACAACGTCATGTTAGCATTTTTCACTTTTGATCAATACTGCCATGTCTTTCAAAAATGTTTTTCTCTTTTATACCTCTTGGTGGCAGTCTTAGCTTCAGGTTTTCTAGTGAGGTGATATTTTGAGACATAATGTTTAGATTTCAATTTGAAAACTCAGGGAGCACATACAGATTTGAAATATTTGTGTTTATCCAAATATGCAATCGATGAATCTGGTGGGGAGATGCAGCGCTAGACTAGACCTAGGTAACAGTGTAAGTTCTTCCTGCACCCCCTCTCCCAGGAAATTATAAAAATGTTTTAAACTGTTCCTCTGGAGGGAGACTGGTTGTAATTAAGGCAGACCTGAAAGTGGGAGGCCAACTTCCCAATGTTTGTCACAGAGAAAAAGGGCATCTTCCACCAACAATATATTGTAAATGATGTTTTAGGATTGCATTAGATAAAATGAAAGTGTTTGTCCATAAGATACTGACCTGAATGATATGTGTTTACCCTCACCTTCCATTCTGAAGGGAAAACCAACTCTTAACAAAAGGAATATGGAGAGAATGGTGCTAAAGTAATGGACTGTAGAAACAATAACTGTAAACAGGCATGAAAAGATGAGAATTTTCTTGTAGATTAGGTACTTATTTAGATATTTTTATGAGTTCTAGAGCACTGCTTTTGTTCTCTTTATATTCAGAACATTCAGTACAGCTCCAAGGTAAACTCTTGGAAGCTACATGCTGTTGAGGAGGAAGAATGCATGTTTTGTGTAGGTGACTACATGCCAACATATTTACCTACAGACATAAAATGTGACATGAACTGTCCAAAGAACGAGTGTCTATCAGTTAGTTGTAAGGAAAACAACGAATGAAAATCAAAATTTACTTGAGTAGCTTTTAAATCAGGAATGGAAACTCCCTGATATGGAGATCAACATTATTAGTGTTGTTATGAGCCATCAAATTGCCCTCAACTTACATGATCCTATGAATGAACATTCTCCAAAATATCATGTCCTCAAAAGCCCTGTTCAGCTCTTGCAAACTCAAGCCTATGGTTTCTTTAGGGAGCTAATCCCTCTTGTGTTTGATCTTCCTCTCTTTCTGCTGCCTTCCATCTTTCCCAGCATTATTGTTTTTTCCAGAGAATCCTGTCTTCTCATGATGTGCATAAAGTAGAACAATCTCAGTTTCAACATTTTTGCCTCTAGAGATAGTTTTAGCCTTGATTTGATGTAGGACCTACTTATTTGTCTTTCTGGCAATCCAAAAAGCTCTCCTCCAGCACCACATTTCAAACAAATCATTTTTTTCCTTTTCCTCTTTCTTTACTGTCCAGGTTCCATATACTTTAACCTGCTAGATTGTTCATTGGATCTGGAGAAACTCATTATTAATTAGGTATAAATGGAAACTAAAAAGAAGAAAGTAGCATCAAAGACCACAACACAAAATCACCCAGTATAGGCCCATTTCAGAACTGAAAGGTTACTGAAGAAATAAAGAAAACAAATTTTGGTGTACATGGTTTGTATTATTGTCTAGAGACAAAACCTGTGGGTTCACACTGAATGTCAAAGTTAAGAACTCTTATATTCCCTTCTGTCTTCTCTAGTTTTTGGAGGTGGGATTTGCAACCTAATGAAAACTAATTGAAAGTCCTTAATTTATTTTATATGGGTTATGCTTCTGCCCTGGGTGTAGGGAGAAAAGGCATATAAGGAAACACAACTGCAGCAGTCTGTAATTATATTTAATTACTCTGAATCAATTGAGACATGGAATATTAGTTCCAGGGTAGATTTTACACTAACCACGTCATAAGAAAGCACGACACGATTTCTTTGTTTTTATTTAATAGCAAATGCATGGGGAGAGGAGGAATCATCCAGATCATAGCTAGAGAGAGGAGGGTTACACCTCTTCTACTTGAACAGCATAAATCACTTTCCGCAACCCAACACTTTGATAGATTCATGATTTTAAGAGTTTTTATTCCACCATTTAATCTTAAGTGGCTGAAAGCTTGCTTCTTATCCAGCTTATCTTCTCGTTAACACTGGTCTTTTTCTCTAGTTTGGAAAAAAAAACCTGTTTTGGGCTAAATAGAATGTCCAGTAACCATGCTGGATAGGGATTTCTGAGAGTTTCAGTCCATAAAAAGTAAGTTCCTAGCTTTGCTCTCACGTCAGAAGATTTTTCTAGTAAGCTCTTTCACAAAGAAAGAGGCATAATTCCTTGCACAGCTGACTTTTCTTTGAAGGATGAAGACTAGAACAGCCTACCTCAGTAGAAGGGCACCAGAACAGAGGAAGAAGAACATGAAGAACCAGCTAGCAGCCCCCTTTCAGAGATGCAGGAACATGTCTTGAGGGAGGCAGTCCCTCCAAAATATGAGATCGGCTTGACAGGTGAACACTGCCCCCGCCCCAGAGAATGCCCAGTACACAGGATGTTGGACCAGAAAACACAATGCAAGTGAAGTTAACCATTTAGCTTGACATCTTGGCTATTCTTTGCATGTACCATGAAACTGTGACTGTTCTGTGTTCAGAACCAAAGGGGACGGCTATACTCCTGCCAGGTAACACTTGCTACCTTGAAATATGACATTTCACCTATGCTGTAGAAGTTTTGTCTGCTCATTTCTAATAAGCAAACTGTTGCCCAGGAGCAGAACAGACAGGTTCATTCCCGGTCAGTTAGCAACCCAATGGATTAATAAAAACCTTGCTGTAACTGGTTCTGAGACTCTTCTCCAAGTCACCAGTTCCCTTTCTGCGCTCTCTCTGTCTCTCTCTCTCTCTCATGGTTCCCTCACATAATGGATATGTTGCATCCACTTCACTCTAAATACTGCATGAACACACATATTTTCAGGCAATTCTCTTTTTTCTTTGTTTCTGGTGCAGTTTAAACATGACAGTTTCTCTTCAGCCAATGTTTGCATGCATGGTGTTTCCAATGCAACAAATCCAGGCCCATTTGGACCAGGTTACTTGGCTAACTTGAGTAGGTGCCTGCTGGCCCAGGTGAATATCCTGCAGATAACACTGCCTCCTCTGCCTGCTATCCCAGGCACAAATATATCATGGGCCCTCAAGAGACATTTGATGCATCTCCTGACTGGTTTGCTGCTTTCCTGACACACTGCGAATTTTATGTGCAGCTCCAGTCTGAAGACTTCCCTGACAACATGTTTAAAATTGTCCTTGTGACTAGTCTGCTTATGGGCCAAATGGGCTATGCCCTTCCTGCTTCAAGTCATCTTACTTTTTCTTGAGTGCCTTGGCTTGTGGTCCAACTATGGGCCATACATGAGAGTCCTAAGAAGGCAGAGATAGCCATCTGTCAGATACTGTACTCTTTTGGACTGCCAGCCCAGGGCCTGAACAGCAATAAAGCAGCTTTTATGGATGAATTCCAAGAGAGACTGGCTGATGGGCACAGTGAATTAGCTGCAGTACATTCCACTCTGTCTCTAGATTGATGTTTGGTTGAAGAGCCGCTGGCATAGATAGCTACAGTGGAGAAGCTTGAGAAAAAGTCTCAAGCCCCATTGGGCCTCCTCCTCAAGCCCCTGGATCTGTCCTGCAACTTGCCACTACTGGTTTAGCAGCCCATAAAGTTGAATAGCACCAGGCCTCAACTGACCACTAGAGAGAGAGAGGGGTGCAGGTGCAGTTTCCTGGATATGACCGAGCTCTGTTTAGCATACTGGGCACTCTCCAGTGTGCCTATAGATACTCACAAAGAGAATATGAAGGTGATGGCCACTCTCCATTGTTTTTAACCTCTGCATTTTGCTGTTCATCGTTGTTGCTGTGTTGCAGGCTATTATGCCAGTGGGTATCATCCAAGATTTGCTGAACTGACCATTAAAAAAGATGCACTAGGCCTAGATGGGCTCCTAGATCTAGAGTAGAGGAAGTTGACTCAGTCTCAAGCCCTTCATGGTTCCGTCTACCATCACTTATTTGTGATTGCAACATTGGGTGTTTTTTTTTACTTTCAGACTCTGAGACCTGCAGCAGTTTTATAGAAATTAATTCTGTGGCCTGGCAGTACCTCCCCACTCAGCCTATGGTGCCCCCATGGTCGAAACAATTCATGGCAGATTTCTGAGTGTAGTTACCCAAAATACTGACTCTCTAACACAGCAGAT